GACACCGCAGTCGGCCCAGTGCGTCTTGCTGTGTGCAGTGGCTATCTGCAGGCTGAGAGTCAGGCTCAATGCCCCCTTCTTAATGGGGCCGTTATGGCGCTCGCAACCGGGAGCCTACCTATCGAGACATGCTGTTTGGCACGCTGTGCATCTTGCAGAAGTCATCGCGTTGCTTCACCTCGTTGAAGCTCGAAGTGGATATCGTCGAAATCGACGGCCGAACTGTCATATATGGGCGCTCAACGTTTTCCGTTGTGCCTTGCAGTTCTCTCGAGCTCTGCCAAATGCCTCGCATTAGCATATGCAGAATAAAGGTGCCGACAAAGAAGAGGACGACTAGCATGGTCATTGTGGACTTATTAGCTGTCATCAGCAAGCCATCACAGGAATACCTCTAGATGGAGAAGTAGAAGGCGTTGCGATCACCGATCTAAGCTTTCGGGCTCTTTCTAGAGTCCATCATCAGAGATAAGAGGCGTAAACGAAAGACGAGCAACAGGTATAGGACGCAGAGGCCAGTCAACCGTTATGGGGGGAGGGGGAAAGGGTGGAACAGTCAACCATCAGTGCCATCATTCTGGAGATGCCTGCGCAGCGCGATGTATGCTGGTGCCAGATCGATAAATCGATTGACTTAGTTCTCATCCAAGGCCCAGGTTTAAATCAATTCGTGGCCTGTTTTGTTGCCGGCGTGCGCGATTACCCTCGCAGCTGCGAAACTAAACTCGGGACCGGTCTCGTAGGTAAGAGTGGCCACTTGCGATGATGCGTCACCCCGTTGTATCGCCCGTTTATGTTCGCGTATGAGCGAAGCAAGCATACGTCCTGTCTGTCCTATGTAGTTTCGGGGACAATTAAGACATGTTAGGCGATACACGACACCCGACTGCTCACTGGGATTTAAACGGTCCTTGATTCGCATAATGCGCATGGTAGCCTTGGGACGGTGTGCAATTCTGACGCCTAGTACCGCAGCAATGCGTTCGATCGCTTCCGATACATCCTTGATGTATCGCAGCGCATGCCATATCGTACGGGTTGGTCCTGGTTGATTCCTCGGAGGGTGAGCACGTAGGCATCGGCTTATGAAGGCCTTCGGGTAGCCATTCCGCATAAACTGGTCGCGGAGATATCGGGCCACAGGTGCCTTTTCTTCCGAATTACTGTAATGAGTCTGGATTCAGACAAGTAAAATTAAAAGTACAAGTAAATGTATGATTCCGGTGATCACAACGCCTTCTCCTTCTCTATCTACACACATACCTGGGATGCGAACATTTGCCTCAATTCGTAGGAATACCTCTTTCTGTCACCGCTCTGACGGAATGTATCGCACATTTCTACATTCGCGACTCAAATGATTAGAAACGTAAGCACCACTGGGCGTTGGAAACACTCATTGCTGGGGGGACACGAGGGAATAATCAAAGGTACGTACAGTGGATTCCGCTCAGACTCCAGATCTCGATCCAAAGAAGGCATTACCCCACGCGCTGAAAACGACCAAAGTGTTTCCAACGTAGTTGCCCAAATGTTTTCCCTGGTCGATCTAAACTTTACCTG